CTCCTTGTGCAACTTTCCGCTCCTAAAACCTGCGGATGCCCGGAGGAAAACGCAAAAAATTTCAGAGCAACCAGCATAGGAAACAATTTCGAGGAGCAACCAGTAGAGGAATCTGAAAATTTACGAGGATGTCTTCTTTCCAGGTGTGAGTTAAAAATTTCGAATTCAGCTATCACATATGTCTTATGCATACAAACACTTCAAAATTTGCAGCTGGCACTGTGCTAATTTTGGAACTATCTTGAAATGGTAACTGTAACTCTACATGAAAATGCATCACCCTGATGGAAATCCGTATACCCAAATTGAATACTGAATTACACCTACGCCATATGCAGTGGCAGGACGAATATATCTGTAGCGAAATTACGTCTTCAGGAAATCAGCTTCCAAGCAGCTCTAGTGTTATGTGCAATTCAGCTTTCTGTTTTCGATAAACCGGAACCCGTTTACTCTGCGATCAAAGTGATTGTGAAACCGAAATTTTGTGAGAACGAATAAATAAAAATTTATATTGAAGGTTTAACCAAAACTGGAACGCACCAAGCTTTCCGGTGCGGTCATGCGCTTTTGCACTAAACTCGCAGATCGCTATTAGCAGGATTGAACCCTACGCTGTAACCTAACACTTGGGCTCGTGTTGGCCGTACTTTGGTCCTTTCCGGCATGCAGAAGGAAAGGCGTTAGTTGGGACGAAGGTGGTGCATTATAGAGCCGCACGGACATTCAAGTACATGATTATCGGTTTTTATTTGCACGAAGTTTGGTCGTTTTTTCTGTAAATACTCGCTTTGTGAAAAAACAACAAATGCAAATTTTTTAAAAAAATGCAAATTTCCAGTTCACTAAAAAGTGAAAGTATTGCTCGAGTGATCGTTTGTCAAAAAATTCACATCCATTTAGAAACAAGATTGCGGTTAAGATCCGAGCTGCGAACGATTTTTTTGAAAATATGCAAATTTTCAGTTCATTAAAAATTGAAAGTATTGCTCGAACAGTCGTTTTTCAAAATGTCCATGTTCATTTGCAAATACAATTGCGGTTCATGTCCGAGTTGTTAACGATTTTTGCGTTGAGGAGCTGCTTGAGGCTGTGGTTGGGAAGCTAGAGAGCTGAGTTTAAAATTTTTATCTCGCACGTACATAGAGAATATCCCTACAAAGTTGCAGCTTTCTACCTTGCTTGGTTCGCAAAACCGTTTCCCGCCAAAGAAATTTGCATATTTTTTTGGGGCGCCCGTATGCGTGGTCTAGGCGCGTGTGGGTGAATACCTTGAAACGGGAGGGTGACACACGGGGTAGGAATATATACTCAAAGTTTTAGCCTCCCAGCTTTCCTGATTACTGAGATGAAAGTAAGTGACAATATGCACTAGCTTTTGAGCACACACACACACAGTCTCTCGACAATGTGCCTTTTTGCTGGCTTTTTGCTAGCGCTACTATAGAGCTGCACAGCAAAAACGCATAAAAACGTAATTAAGATTGGAAAATTAAAATTGAGAAAAATAATGTTATTGTTGTCAATAAGAAATTATCAATATTTAAGTTGGTAAAATAATAAGTTAAGCATTTTTATTGACTTAAAAGTTATAAGTATTAAAATTATGACAATGCGTACCATGCGTTTGTGAGTCTGTAAGCATAAAATGAACTCCTCCTCTCGTATTTGCTCAATGTGCAATGAACTCAACTGTTCAAAATGTAACACTTCCGTCATCTTCCTCTTTCGGCAATCAAACAGACAAGAATGCAGAAATTTTGCGAGAATGCAGGTGTAACTGCGTAACATCAAAAGCGTGAAATCGATTTTTATAAATGCCCGTGTCTTGCGTATGGGTGCGGCTAACTTGATATTGCAAAATCGTTGACTTTCTACTTACGGGACGCTAAGTTTTATATGGTTCCACAACGCAATACTACTGTCTCAGCTGGCAGCCCTCCCCACCGTAAGGAATAGATTTAAAACAGTGCAAGCTGTAGTATTCAGGAGGCATCTATTTGTTCTGCATCAATTGTTCAAATGCAAAGAATCACACTGTTAATTATTGGAAGCTGTTTATGTTTTGTGTATGCATGTGTATGTGTGTATGTGGGTGTGTTTTTGACGGGACTTTGTCTCTCATTTTCAGCTTATCAAGCAGAGAAACTAGAAGCTAAAATTTTACTGGGATTTTTATTGGCCATATGCAGTTCCTTAGATGTAAAATCAACTGTTATGCATGCCTGCGATTCACCTGCGCACGTGTGTGCGCGAAAGCCGAAGTTAAGTATGTGCCCCAGTTAAAGATTTTGAGGACCAAGAAAAAAAATAGAAAGCTAAAATTTGACGGTATTCTCTGCCTAGATATGAACAAAAGCACATTTGAATTCAGCCTTGAAGAACGCCAATACCTATTGTATGCGCGGGTGAAAGTACAACTCAGCTGGCAGTATAGTTAATAACTTCCTTATAAAAATGCAGCCTCATCCTCAGCAGCCAAAGTGAGGAAGAAGTTGCATTTTTATGAGGACGTTACTAACCATATTGCCAATTGAGTTGAACTTTCGTTTTTTGAGGACTTTTTTCACATGGGCTTGCAACCGTAAAATTGGCATTTTGCCTCCGTCTGTGTCGTGTGTTTCGAACACGTTAGCTGTTGAGTTTTGCAAAACTGGCAATATTTTTCGCTCTCGGTAATCATGCATGCTGGAAAACAAAAATTTTGCGGGGCCCAACAAAATGGCCCCATCGCTTCAGCTGATAAGCCTTCTTCTACAAATGCGTTTAAACTAAGCTGATGTTAGTTAGCGGCCCATTAAGCTGACGCAGCCGGCCGCTTTCACACATTTTCATTTCTTTTTTGATTGTCTTGCAATATTTGCTCAATATTTCAATCCTTGTCCGTACGCTTCTTTAATTTTTCAATGTTTTTTGTCTTGTTGATTTCTTAATCTTCCTTATGCCATAACCTCGCCCACACGTATTTCTTGCCCTCTTCCGCGTCTCCCTCCCCTTCAACAGCGGAACAAATTTCTTCAAAATCGGTGGGAAAAAATGTTCGGGTCCCACTCTGATATCATCAAAGAATATAAAAACTGTGTTGAAAATGAATTATCTCATTTGTTTTCTTTCGACCGACGGCCAACTGCTCCTCCTTTTGTTATATTTTACCATGTTCCTTTTGTAAAGCGGGAGAACTGCTAATTTGGAGTATTTAGATCCCAATTTTACACTTTAGTAATTTCGATGAACTCTTCCTTATGTTAAATAACTGCACACTTGTTTAGTCACTTATTTGCTACAAGGCTTAATCGCTGGAAGCAGTCGATTGTCTGCTTTGCTGAAATTTTACGAATAATGCCTCACACTTCATTCTAATGGGAATTTACGGATAATTTGATTGTGACCCTGACGATCCACGGATTTAATTTTACGACAAGTGCTGCCAAAGTGTAGCCCCTCCAAAAATTCTTTAGTTTCTGTTTATTTCATTATTATGTGTTTTTGCTTACATCCAAATTGCAAAAACGCATATTGCGACGACCCTGTCTGTGCGTATGTTTGTATCTGTAAGTTTATGTGTGTGCGTGTGTGTGTGTGTTCATCTGTCATTTCAACTCGGCAACCAAGCAAGCTTCGGCGCCAAAATTTTGCTAGTGGGTTTGCCGACCATGTGCCACCTCAGGACCGAAAAAACAGTACCAACCCTTACGCAAGTTTGGGCCCCGCGTCGGGAACGGGAAAAGCTAGAAAGCTGAAATTTTGAGCTTATGTTTCCCATCCACATAGAACTCAAAGATTTCAAATTCAGACCCCGGTGTGTATGGTTTCCGCGTACGGCCCCATGAGGATTTCTGGCACGAAAACCGCTAACTTGGGGACCAGGAAAGCTGGGAGGCCGAAATTTTCAGGGAATGTTCACAGCACATACACAACTTAAATTTATCGAATTCAGGCCCCAGAAATGCGTGGTCATGCGTTTTTGCTTATATGCAAGAACACATATTGTGACAACCCTGGTGTGTGTGTGTGTGTGTCTGCCTGTCTGGGTATTTCAACTCGACACCCAAGCAAGCTCCGGCGTCAAAATTTTGCGAGCGGGTTCCCCGGTCAAGCGCCACTCCAGGACCGCGGTGCCAATCCTCAAGCACGTCTAGGCCCCGCGTATGAGCGTCCCAAAGTTTTGGCGGGAGAATGGCCAGCTTGAGAACCAGAAAAGCTAGAAAGCTGAAATTTTGGGATTATGTTCCCCGTCCATATAGAACTCA